GTCCAATAGGAAGCAGAAAAGCAAAAAACAAGAAATAAACATAATAAATTTAGTTTAAATTCATGCCAACACTCACGCTTATTACGCTAAATATTACGCTAAATATGAGTGTTATTTTAACTTCATTAAACGGAATAAATTTCTGATAAAGTAAATTAATGTTTTTACTTTTCTCGTTAAGAAAAAACTTCGCTAGCGGTCTCTCGTGGCGCGGAGGGCGAACTACACTCTTTATGTTACATGCTCCGCTATTTAGAACAAATTAACCACTCGGTGACAAACCGCAAATATTAACGCAAATCTTTTTCTTTTTGTTCTGGCTCGAGTTTTCCTTGCAGAACACCCTCTACATGACAGCAGCAGATACCAGTCAAAGTCTGACAACATGCTACCGCTAACATGCGACAAAGTAAAGTTAGCACATACTTTGAGTCAACAAACTTCATAAAAGTCTCCCGTAAATCCATCTGTCTGAGAACTAAACACGCTATAAATATTCTACAGGCTGTAATAAACACGCGCCTGGTGTGAGGAAGAAGTCATTATCACGAAAATGGCGACTGGGCTTGAGACCTCTTCACCCCACAAATCCACGAAGAGCCGTGAGTTGCTAAAACCAAACAAACCTTTTAAATACTACCCGAAAAACAGAAAGGGTGTGTTTTTTTAATTGATACGGTGGTATCAATGTGAGATAATAATTATAAATTATAAAGTTATTAGGTAGAAATTGACTTACTAAAAGTCTCCTCCAACCTGCTAATTGATGCTCAGGTGGCGTCAAACTGTAGCGAGTCAAGCTAACGGCACGTGGGTTTGAGCATGCGCACTAGTCCTGATTTTGACTTTACAAACTACACATCAGCCGTTACGGTTAATCAATATATGTTATATAAAATATACTCAGTTCTGACATATAAGCAATAATAGCTGTTAGTATATACTAACAGCTATTAGTATATACTAACTGTTAGTATATAGCTGTTAGTATATACTAACAGCTATATACTAACAGTTAGTATATACTAATAGCTGTTAGTATATACTAACAGCTATTATTGCTTATATGTTTACAGTTTATCTAAAATACAAAGCAAACGATAAGACTGCATATGGATGCTTAATGCCTCTTCTCAAATAATGCTCTGCTGTTCTCAATTTGTTCGATCATTATGTCGGAAATTCTAAATAATTTTAAATCTTAGGTTACATGTCTACGACTAAAGAGGTTTAGTCACTACTGAGAGACTTTGCCATTATTTTTGATGGATTAAGAGAAAACTTAGTTAAAGAAACCTGGACGATTTTTATCCAAAAGAGTTGACCTAAAAAAAGAGTTGACCTAAAAGCTTTGTTTCATTAGCCATAACACTCCTGCTCCCCGCCTTGAATTAAGGTATTTTATTCAGGCCCAAAACACTCAGATAAAGTCGTGTATTCAGCTGACACAGAGCATGAATAGTTCTGATGGTAGCATCAGACTGTTTAGGTGAAATTAGTTCAAAGATGTTAAAAAATCACTAAAGGTGTTCTAACAAGCAACACGTGTGCTGAATTTTAAAGTGGTGGAATTCTGGCTAAAGTCTGTAGTGAGAGTAGGGAGCAAGTGAAAGACAGTCTGAAGATGTGGAAGTATGCTCT